ACTCAGTCCGGTGAAGGTCTTGGTAGCTGTGGACAATTAGTCCTTTGGACTAATCTTTTCGTTGTATCCTGTTCTCTTCATTCTCCCTTGCTCCCGAAGAGATGAGACCAGTGGAGTATCTTAGATGGCCGCTCACAGGCTTTTAAGACCCAGGACACTACTCACCAAGGTAGAATGTAGAGCATTATCTTTATAAGTAGTGTCATGCCCAGGAGAGATTTTGATGTTGAATTGTATCAGCCTGTCTGGGACTGCTGATAACCATGGTCTATGAAGCCATCACATGTGCTGAGGGAAACAAAAGATGGAGAGCTACTGTTACCCCAGCATCCTGCTTCACAAACAGGTTTTACCTTTCTACTAATGCAACGGTTCTCAAACTGATGTGTATCATAAATCATCAGGAAGGCTTTTTAAAACACAGATTTCTGTGTCCCACTCTCAGGGTTTCTCATTCGTTAGGTCTGGGTGGGGCCTGAGAATTTCCATTTCCGCTACGTTCTCAGATGATGTTGCTGGTCTGGGAATCACACCTTTAGTGCCAGTGTACTATGTGAGTCTTTGCTAAATACCGTGTACAATGAGAAAATTACTTTTCAAAGGAGGAGCAAAAGTATCAAGTTTTACACGCTTGGCCATTCATTATAAAATTTAAAATTCAAATGATTAGGTGTTTTAGTTCTAACTTTGTTTCCCAAAGTTCCTTCTTCTTTCTTTTTCCTTTCATGGTTATTACCAATTTCTACCATTATTCATTCGAACAGGCAACAAATATTTATTTAGCACACACTGCGTGCCTGTACATTGCCACGGGATGAAGAGGATACAAATACATACAAGACATGGACTCTGTCCCAAAGGAGTGCCAGTTCACTTGGGATAGTAAGTGTCATACATGTTAAATGTTAACCAATAATATAAGGTTAGTAACAACCCATGGCTCAAGCTGGCCCCTGGGATACAATGAAATGTTTGTATTGTGGCACCAGCAGCAAAGACCAGAGGGATGAGGAGGAGGGAGAGATCAGTGTAGGCCAAGAGGCCTGTGAAGGCTTCATACATAGGCAAATATTCTCATTTATCCATTCATTCATTCGTTTATTCATTCACAAAGTATATATTGAGTTCTTACATGGACCAGATGTTGTTCTAGGTGCCAGGGATACAACAGTGAACAGTACAAAGTCCCTGCTCTGAAAAATAAACCAGGGTAAGGGGATGGAAAAAAGGAGGGAGGGGCTAGGTATGGTGGTCGGGGAAAGCTTCTCCAAGGTGGCGGTATTTGAGCTGAGAACTGAATAAAGACTGGGAGCAAACTATATAGAAGATCTGTTGGAAAAGCATTCCAAGTAGCAGGAACAGCAAGTGCAAAGGCCCCAAGGCAAAAGCATGCTTCTGTATTTGAGGATTAGTAGGAGGATGAGGAAGGTCCATAGGTGGTACAAACAGTTTATGCTCAACTGCTAAGCTAAAGATTGGAGGTTCGAACCCACACAGCTGCACTGCAGAAGAAAAGCCTGGTGACAATTGTCTTCCATTAAGATTAAAGCCAAGAAAACCCTATGGAGCAGTTTTGCTCTGTAACACATGGGGTAGCCATGAGTTGAAATCAACTCAGTTGTAACCAACAACGACGATAGGAGTTGAACTGAAGGAGGGAGAGAGGAGAGGAGTTGGAGACTCAGGCAAGGGCCAGATCAAGGTGGGCTTTGAAGCCATGCCAAGAGCTTTGATTTTTTTCCCCCACATAATGAGACGGTTTTGAGCAGGGAATGATGAGATATGATTTATGTATTCAGAACGTCACTGGTTGCTCTGAGGAGCATAGACTGTGGAAGCAAATTTGGAGGCTAAGATACCAGTCAGGAGGCTGTTGCAATAATCCCAGTGAGAGATGATGGTACCTTGGACTAGGGTGGAAGCAGCAAAAAGTGGCAAGAAGAGATCAAATCTGAGATATTATTTGGAGGCAGAGCCAACAGGATTTGCTGGTGGATTCACTTCAGTGTATGTGGCACCAGGTCAGCCACTGAGGCCAGCGGAGCTGCCGGCTGAGGAGAATTTATAATAGATAAGGAGGAAGGAGGAGTCCCTGGGTGGTGCAAATGGTTAACATGATGTTGGCAGTTCAAATCCACCCACAGGTGCCTTGGAAGAAAAGCCTGGCAATCTACTTCTGAAAAATCAGTCATGGAAAACCCTATGGAGCACAGTTCCACTCTGACACACATGGGGTTGCCATGAGTTGCAATTAACTCAACGGCAACTGATAAGGAGGAGGGAGACAATGAGTATCAGTAGTTGCAGCAACCTGGGGTTATAGTTCATTTCACTGACCCTTCCTCTTCTAAGTTTCCACTAGGAAAAGAGGCCTTCCAGAATCCTGAGAGCGGCTATTGAAACTGGCCTGTGGAAAGAGGACAGTCCAACAGGCTAGAGTCAGCCTTCAAGAGTTAAACTACTTCCCTCCCTCGTTCTCTTCCTTTCTTTCCAATTTGGTCAAAGTTTTACAAATGCTCACTGAACATCCACAAACATAAATCAAATATTTAACACCAGGGTTCCTGCCACCAAGCAGCTCATACCTGAGTGGCAGAGACAGACCCCAAAATACCTGTAGGGAAAATAATAGTAATGTTTTAGTCAACACTTCTCTGGCACTCTCCCCACTTGTAAATATAGGGACCCCTTCCCCCAAAGTCCCCAGGGAGCATCTCTTGTGCTCGAGAAACAGACCTGGTCACTTGTCACAGACTTTGCAGTTTTTTGGCTCTTCCTCTGCCCTGGCCCTGTTCTGCCAGAAACCACCATGTCCCATGGGCAATGGGCCGCTGCTGGCCACAGCTGCTGCTGATTCACCGGAGCCTGTGGGGTGCCAAAGCTGCCTACTGTGGGTTGGGGAGCTTCTCTCCCCGTTTGTGTTTTGCTTTGTCATGGGTGTGGTGGCAGGGAAGTTTGTATCCCAATTTTTAACATGGTTTTTAGTAAAATATCCCTTTCGGTTTTTATGTACTCTTTTTTCTTCCTTCCACTTCCATAGAACTCAAATTTGAGTCCAGCGGGGAGCTGGGGTGGGATGCAAATGCAGTAATAAACGCAATACTGAGTTGCCCCTCCCAGTATCCCACACACAGATTTACTGGTGGGTCCACAGCCCTCAGCCATCACATTAGCATGGACAGGTCTGAAGTAGATACAAGTCATGCTCAAGTTGGATCCCCAACTCCTTGGTCGTTTCATGTTCCTCCTCTTTTTGATCACACGGTTCCTTCTTCTGGATTCCAGCTCAAATATCGCCAACTGGTGAACCCTCACCCCTTTTTCTTACTCATTTTTCTCACATAAAAGAAATTACATGCTTATTTGTATGTTTCCTCCAGAGTCTGTGAAGTCCCCAAGGGTAGGACAACATCTTATGCATCATTTTATTATATTCCTCTCACCTAGATGTCCCTGGAGAAGGACATCATGCTTGGTAAAGGGTCAGCGAAAAAGAGGAAGATCCATAGATTGACACAGTGGCTGCCACCATGGGTTCAAGCATAACAACGATCATGAGGATGGCGCAGGACCATGCACTGTTTCCTTCTATTGTACATATGGTCGCTATGAGTCGGAACCCACTCGACGGCACCCGACAACAACAATACCTAGAGAAGTGCTTAGCACGTTACAGCCGCAGAGTTGGTAACTGTGAATAAATGAATGAGCGAATGAAAGAATGGAGTCAGTAGGGTGGACTTCATCCTGAGGCCTGGGAAGGCAGGAGAGTGAGTAATCAGTTCAGTTGTAAAGTTTACTGTAACAACGTTGCCCAGAGTCGGGTTGGGAAGCAGTCCGGGCCAAGGTCACCAGCAGCCCACCGACTTTCCTCCGCGGTTTTACCGCCGCGCGGAGTCTCACAGACAACAACCTCACCTTTGCCCTACTCCGGAGTCCAGGCCCAACTTTCCTCCGTTTCCATTGGCTGCGCGACCGTCCAATGGGCGGCCGCTCTCAATCGCGCGTCTCGCGAGTGTTAGAGTGACTGGTGGCGGCTGTGTGGTTTGGCCAGGCGGGTGTCTGGCGGGTGCCGGGCTCCGGGCCGCTGTGAGCAGAGGGTGCGGCGGGTGGACGGGAGCGGACATCATGTTCCGAGCGGCAGCCTCTGGGCAGCTCCGGCGGGCGGTGAGTCCGATCGGGGAGGGCCGAACTTGGTGACGATCCCACCAAAACCTGTCGTCCCAGTGAGGGTCTTGGCGAAGGTCACCGGCTCCAACAGGTCCGACTGGCCCTCTCGCAGGCAGGCCTAGCCAGGCCTGGAGCTCGGTGCCGGGGCCCAATGTTGTGGGACCCGGGCCGGCCCCGGATTCCTTACAGGCCTCTAGCTCGGGCACAGGTCAGAGGTCGGGGCTCAGGGCGACCCCCAGTAATTCAACTTGCGCGCCTGCTGCCTCTCCTCCTTTCCGCCCTGCCTTCTCCAAAGTCCCTCTTCCCACCCTCCTGGATCTCTCTTGGTTCAGCCAGGCGTCCCGGGTGCTCCACGCTCGGCGGGGAGCGGGCAGCCATGTCCCTAGAAGATCTTTCCCCGAGGGAACAAAATGTCCCTGTGGGGAGGCCCTCCTGGGAGAGTTTAAAACCTGGACTCAGCCTGGAAGCTGACATTTCTGGAAGAATTAAAACGTCTCCACTGGGCGCCTTGTTGCTGCTCTGATCCACTCACCGTCAAGTGCGGGGGGAGGGGGCATGGAAACTTGTTCCAGCTAGTGGGACCGTGGTGATTTTAGGTGATTGCATGTGCAAAGCCTACGATCCAATTTGATAGCTTTAGCCAATTTTGAAAGGGGGGCATCCTTTTATACTAAAGGCTGACCTGCTTTTAAACTACTAGATTGTTGGTTAAATAGCCAGGGAACTTGGTATTAGCAGGTTTTTGGTGCTTTGAATAGTGACAAATCACGAGTTTACCACACTTCTCACTCTATTCTGTGAGAGGGGCTGAGAGAAAATATGTTTTTGTCCTTATGCTATGAGAGGATAGTGTTTGGAGACTGACCAATTACAAGTAACAATAATTTATGTTGTGGATTCTGTAGATTTTCTCATTTACATTTAGGTTAAATGAGAAACAAGATTGCTAAACTTGTGTCAGAAACTTTCCTGATGTTTTTTTTTACTCTTTTTGGGGGGTGGGGTGGGGTGGGGAGCATATTTTCCCATCCACTGCTGGGATTTTCTCCCTGAGACGTAGCTTGTGATCTTTCTAGATGTCTGTAGACCCTTTTCTTGTAGTTATGCCTTGTTCCAGAAAAAGATTTAATTCCCCTTCTTCTAAAAAGTTCAAACTCATATCCTTCAAGTCATTGTCCTCTCTTTCCCTCAGGAGATTTTTTTTCCTCAGAGGATATAAACAAACAAGTTAAAGTCATGGATTTGGGAAAATTCCAGGAGTCACAGCCAGACTCATGGAATAATACTTACCTAAGCAGTAATTGGAAGGTGGTTTTGTGGACAGGTTAGAAGTCTGGTATATGTGAGGTGATAATTTTGGTGGAGGGAATTGAGGACTCAGTA